AAGAATAATACTGGACTCTTTTATCTTCTTTTCTCCAACTGTGAATTTGCCTTATTCCCATTTTCCTTCAACATCCCATTTGCAACCTTTCACATATTGCTCCTATTCCAGTTTGCTAGTTCTTCTCTAATGTCATATGCGACAATGGACTTCCATTCCCCGAAGCAGAGACATTTGTCTCATGTGCAATTCTGGTGGGATACATAGATATAGCCTTTTTTAAGGTCTGTTCTGCAATCTTTATTTTAAAACTCTAACATTTTATCACTATCAGCATATTGAAAAGTTGGCTATGATTATTGCCATGCAGACTTTAAGTTTTTAGCCTTCTGGTCCTGGAAGAATATTTAGAAAGGCTTTCAGCTGCTCTTGTTACCAGCACAGCAGTTCTGAATGCCATTTAGGTAGCAGTGTATTTAAGAGTTGGTATGTTCTTAGTAAAGCAAATGCAAAATATAAAACTTTAATTACGTATAAAGATTCAGGACTGAAAGACCTATACTTACATCTAGAAAAAAGCTGAGATCCACACTCTTATATTGTTCTATGTACAATAATATAAAAAAACCCAACAACAAACACCACCAAACCCAACCAGATTCCATTATCAAGATCTCACAATCTCAGGATATTTTCTGGGTATGAATTTAAGGTTGCATAGTAATTCCTGTTCCATTCAGAGACAATTTGCTACATAAATTACTTGGTATAACATGGGTCATCTGTTTTAATTATTATTATTATTAATTCTTATTCCCTCAGCTCTGTATGGTAGCAATTCCTAAGTCTTACTGTAACAAATACCTCTTGTAGCATTGGAGAATTCCAGGTACTATGCTTTGAATATTTCATAATATTTAAGGTTTTGAATAGTGACTTTTTGAAACCATTCCACATCTTTTGTAATTCCAAATCTTTCATCAAAAAAGAATTGTAAAATCAACTATTTGTGTAAGAATGGCATACTGATATACAGACTTAGAAAATATCTTGTACTTGCTATATAATGTATCCGCTTTTTCAGATTTGTTGAACATATTAACCATTCCTGATGCAAAAGGGAGAATAATCCTTGTGTTTGGTCTCACTATAATTGGAGCATTAATGCATTGATTGTTTGAAATCAGAGAGAGATATACACCTGACATAATGTTCATTGTATTTCCTTCACTTTTATTCCCTCTGTTAAAAGTAATGTTTTCCTTTCTTCTCCCCACATTTATAAAGAATAGGGAGTAAGGAATATAATGGAGATTTTAACACAGACTACAGCCTAGGCAAGGTACAGTCAGGGGTGGTTTTTTTTTCTTTTTTTCTTTTTTTTACAATATTATAATTTTCATTCCATGAATGAAGTAAGAAATTAGTACTTGTTTTGGAGAAACCCCCCTCTGGGGGGAAACATTAATTTTTTTCAATAACTAGGGGTATTGATAGACCTTGCTTTCTGCCAACAGATGACTTGAGTTTTTAGTGCCCTTTAAAGATATATCTGTTCTGAAATATCCAAATAAAGTTAATTTTAAATTTATAATTTAAATATATAATTTAAAATGAAATTATGAAACTTGTTTTGCCCCGTGTCCTCCTTTTAATATGTTTTCCATCTGATGCAGCACTAGCAAAACATGCAGAAACTTTATAATGCGAACCTTAAATATTCAGTCCAAATACTAATATTCTGATTTTCTTCCAATTTTAGTGCAGATGGAAGCTAACAGTGAAGTCCCCGCTAAGCTCCAATGTTACTGATGTAATAAAAATGATAATTTTCTTTGCAGCCTCAATGAATGGTAAATAAAATATTTCTTTCACATATCAAAAATTAGAGCCAATTTGGCTCAGGTACATTTGTACCAACTTCATGATTCCAGTGTGTCTGCAAGCCTGTAAATAGAGTAGCACAGTTTCAAAAAAATTCCCATTTTTGCTTGAAAGAAAAATACATTCCATCATGTAAAAGTTCTGAGCTGATAAAGTAGGTGATCTTCCCCTTGAGATAAAGAACCATAGCCACTGAGTAAAAACCAAAGATAAGAAGAACAAGAAAGAAGTTTTGGAAGCATATTACAGGAAGATACTTGATGACAATGTGTTTTTGCAGGCACAAAGCAAGGCTTTAAAAGTGGATAGTTATGATTGTGAATAGGTAGATATAGCTTCAAGTCTTGGTATGCTATAATCCAAGCAGAAGGTAATTGTAAGATACCATTTGAGAACTTTAATTTTTGTTTTAGTTATATTCTTCATTTATTTTCTTAAAATATGAGGTACTGATGCCAATAAAAAGAGATGGATTTATAGCCATCTATAAGAATGTGAATGGTTTGCAAAGAAGTAGACCGAAAGGGAGGTGGGTATTAGAAATAAAGATAATGTGAGTTGGCAAGTATTCCCTATGCAACAAAAAAAATCTGATATGGGCAAAAGAGTAAGACATTGCAACTATATTTCAAAGATATTCAGAGTCACAAAAGTGTATATGCAAAAGTTCAGTGACGTTTTTGAAGGAGTTTTACCCCTTCAGTTTCTTCTTATATTTATTCCACTCTAAGTTTCAACTTCCCGAAAGAAAGAATAAAGTCCAAGCCCATCAGGGAGAATGTAGAGGGAAAACCCCTGTATTGTAATTAACATGTAAATGCCCAAACTCCAACCCTCTGAACAGCTTTTGTTGCAAAAGCTGTTATTCCCTCTTTTATAGAGAAAGGAAATAAAAGAAAAAATTGAAAGTTCATAAAGGAAGACTGATAGGAAAGATAGGATAACAAACTTTACAATATTAAATGTTTTTATTATTGCACTCCTTGTTACAGTTTTGTCTTATTTAAAATGCCTGCATTTTAAGGAAGAGATAATTCTACAGAGCAGAACAGTATATTGCAAAATGTCATATACTTGCATCTCATAAGGGATTGATCTTGTGGAATAAATGTTCAAACTGAAAATCCTCTAACTGCTTAGCCTTTCCATTGTTATCTACCGTTCCTCATTGTTACTTCATGTTCAGTATTTGTGTTTGAATAAAGTACTCTTTTCACAATACAGAATTTCTAGTGTTATGTCCCTGTTTCTATCAGGACTTAAATTTATGTCCAAAATTTCTTCTATTATTCTGTACCATAGACATGAACTGCATTCACTACAGGCCATCTTCATTATAGCAGCCCTGGGTTGTATAGCATTTAAAATAAAATTACTCTTCTTTTCAATGAAGAAATAATCACATATTCAAATAAATACTATGTAAAAGCAGCTGCTTACTCATTGAATGGTCTCCAGCAGCAACATAGGCACTAAATATGCTGGATTGGTGTTGGACTGACCTCAGTAACAGCTGTGGGGTGAAAAGAGAATGACCCATAGGTAATGCAGCTTCCTGTGAAGAACTGAAGGAGCACAGAAAATACTCTCTATGCTCCATCCTTCTCCCTGTTCAAGTTCATGGTGCAGATTCTCTAACAAATGGGCATCTATAAAAGGCATTGTCAAGGGACTCTTTTTACAAGGGCAGAAGTCTGCTGTCTGCTTACAGGAGGGAAACCTTATGTAATGAGGACATTTCTGCACATAGATTCATACAACATGGCCGGATTTTTTGTGTGGAGTGACCATAAATAATAACCACATGAAAAAATGTGTTCTAGTCTATGCAAATCTGAAGAAATTCAGTATATATCAATGTACATATTTATTTTAGTTTCATTCAAATAGTTGCAACACTACAACCTCATCTGCAATAAATTGTAAATTTATTTTTTGTAAATTGGTAGGTTTATTAATAAAAATTAAGCACATGACATTGTTATGAACAACATAGAATGATGGAGAATGATGTGTTTTATGTTAGACACCTTTGGTTATTAGTTTCTCTGGAGAATTAATTACCATATCCAGATATATAGAGTAAGGAACCTCCCAAACAGGTGTGAGTAGAGGTGCAAAAATCTTTATTTTGTATCATAAAAGTAATATGAAGATGGTATTTTTGCACAATGTTTGTTATCCCTAAACCCATAATACTGTTTTTTAAAGCAAAGACAATGAAAGCAAACATAGCTAGTCTTAGCAGTAAAGCCACTAACCAGTATTCACAAAAGGGCATGCACAATCCATGTAACAGCGCAATTGCCACTGGTAGTGGTGAGAAAAAGCAAAATCTTATGTTTACATTAAAAGCATCTGACATTTGTAAGAATGTTTAAATGTTCATGACACTATTTTTAGAAAGTTTAATGTTTACTGCTTGAAATTAAACTGTTTACAGAGCACAGAAAGTGTAGTGGGCTTTTCATTTATTGTAATAAGTATGATAGCAAAACATCACTGTCATAGCTTGAAAGTAAAACAAAATCACATACATTTTTTTGGCATTTGTAATAAACACTGGGAGACAGGAAGCAGCATTGCTTTGTTCTGTAATGCTGCAACACCCAGCACACAGCCCTGGTCACTCCTGAAATATCTTTTGCACTGTAAAATCAGAAATTTATTCCTCCTGTGTACTGGTCTGCCTTTGTTCCTGTGACTATGTTAGGGATGTCTCTTGTGTATATGAAGAGGCATGCGCAAGCAAAGCCTGAAGGCTGAGTTTCCTGCATTTCAGTATTCAGAAAAACTTAGAAATAGTGCCTCAATATATTTGCCAACCTACCTTACCGATTTCCTTATACCCAATGATATGTATAATATGAAGTTACCTAAGTAAATATAATATTGGGTAAAATTACAAAGGAAAGCAAAAGTTTGCTTGCTGTGTCACCTGCAGTACTCTACTGACTTTGATATTTTGACCATTTCTAGCAACTCTAGAAGCAGTTGAAAAGTACATGAAGAAAATGTAAAAAATGCAGCAAATTATTTTCAGTAGCTACAGACCTGAAATATTTTCAAAGTGGTGATTGTTGATGGTTTTTGAACTCTCCCAAGTAATCCCAAAATAAATCAACCAAGCAACCCTGTTTTGCCTGTTTTTCTTTATTTCTATTGTTGGGTTTGTGGGTTTTTTTGTTTGTTTTGTTTTTTAATTTCTTAATTTAGGCCACCATATCAAATATTGCGTTTCAGTAAGCTTGGAGGCACTTCTATATTGGAGACATTAGTGTTCAGATGCTGGTCATTCAATAGTTTACTCCAGTTGATAAAAGTGCGAGTAACAGGGAGTTTCCTTTGCAGATTTTTCCCCCATATATCTTCTGAGAAAGCCTGAAGGTTTTCCAGAATGGCAGTATGGAACCTGGTGTCCTCAGCTTTCAGAAATTTCGCAAAATCTGTGGCAAACTGACTTTGGTCTGTCATATGTAAAGTATCACTCACAGATTTGCTGACAGTTACATGGAGGTTGGCATCTTTGAAGTAGTGTATCTGGAGGAGAAAGATCCCTGTAACTTGGGTGGTAAATGGAGTCAGGGTGAAAGTCCAGTCTGACTTCCAAAGGCTGTTCCACTGATTTGAAGGCTGGTACTGATGAGCCTCAATGCAAGCCACAAGCATCTGCCTCTTCCCCAGGCTTTTTTTGAACACACAGCAGTTCACTACAGTAAAGTGGCGACCTCATCAGTGTTTACAAATTTGTAACGGGTGGGTGTCAGGATGATGGACCTAGGCTTTTTTCAGTGATATCCAGTGATAGGACAAGGGGCAATGGGTGTAAACTGGAGCATAGAAGGTTCCACGTTAACATCAGGAAGAACTTCTTTACTGTGAGAGTGACAGAGCACTGGAACAGGTTGCCCAGGGGGGTTGTGGAGTCTCCCACATTGGAGATATTCAAGGCCCGCCTGGACAAGTTCCTGTGTGATGTACTCTAGGTTACCCTGCTCTTGCAGGGGGGTTGGACCAGATGATCTCTTGAGGTCCCTTCCAACCCTTGGGATTCTGTGATTCTGTAAACTTATGTATGCCTACAAGCCTTTGTGGAGGGCTTCTCTCCACAGTTCCCCCTCATATAGCATCAACCCATGCACCTGAGGTTTTCTGGTGACCCGACACAGGTGGTCAAGCTCAAAAGAGAATTTGTCCTGAGGGTCGAAGAAGCGGTTTCCCCCGAGGTCATTGTAGCGGGTCAGAAGCACAGTGTGCCCATTTATTTTGATGGGGTAAAGTTGCTCTTGTTGTGACAGGCCCCTATGCAGGCAGCCTCCTGCCTCACCAGCTGCTCATCTTGCACCAGAGCAGAGATATCTTGGACAACCTGGCTGAATTCCCCAGGAGGAGACTGTCATAGTAGGCTGCAAATGAGGGACACCTTCTCTGGCTTGCGCAGGTCCTGCCTCGTGCACATGATGGGGGCTACAGTGACCCAAAGGGCAGGGGTCTGCAGCTGAGGGGAGGGCACTTCATGATGGAGGGATAAGGTACAACATGGTGGCAGGGGAAGAGAGGGTGTGTCCTGGGAAGGGGCTTGTGCTAGGGCCTGCAGTCTGTGACCTCACAGCGTCACCAGGGCAACGCTGGTGGGGTTCCAGTGCTGAGAGTTGTGCCAGTAGGGAGGAGGCCTCATCAGGAACTAGACCAAGCAAGGTGATGTCCTGCCAAATACCACCGCAGTGAAGAGGCCTGAGCAGGGAGTCCTGAGCCACCATGGAGGAGAAACGATATCCTTCTGATGTTGTACCTTCTCTTCCTTTTGCTGCTCTCTCTCTTCCTCCTCCTCTCCCCTCCCTGCCCTGTGGCAACTGCTGCTGTGTGACTTCCCCACCTCCGTGCCTGTGCATGGCCTATGGCTGCATGGGAGGGCCTGTGGCAGCCAGTGCAGCCTGGTCTGGCCTGGTCCAGCCAGTGCTGTTGAGGCTGGTTGGGTAGCACAGGGCTGGTCCTCTCTGTTGCTTGCTGTTGGCACTCCTCTTCGCACCATTGCCCACAGCTGTTGAATCACGTCAGCCTCCCCGCATTTCCCCCCTCTCACTACACCTCTTTCTTCACCCTGACCACCCCTTGTTTTCCTTCATACCCTCCCTTTCCCTTACTGTGAACCTTTTTGTTACCTTTGCCCTCAGAGTCTCTGGGCATGGAGCAAAAATGTATTTGTGTCTCAGAGACTGCTACATTCTCAGAAATCTCAGAAGGATTTTCGAGAGTATGAAAATAGCAAAGTGCAAGCTTTTTAGGCTAAAAAACCAATAACATTTCTCCCCTTTCCCTATTAAAAGGCAATGGCATGAGCCAGAAGTTTCCTTGACCTGATCTCTCATACATGGTTTTTGAACACCATTCAGGATGATTTTGTAGATGGGAAGATCAATTTAGGAAATACAATGCAGTCACTTAAAAAATTTGAATTGCCTTTTAGTTATGCACATGTAAAACATGTTTTCAAGGTGAGGAATATGTAGATGGAGTAATAAAGTACATTTAAAAGTCCAGTTCTATTTTGCTGATTTATAAACATTATCATTTTGAGAAGTGAATCTTGTGCTAGTAGGATCTGTAAAACCAGCAAATAACTTGTCTTATCCAGGTCTTTTGCTTCTGTGTAAAACAGATAACTGAACAGTTGCAATAGAATCATAGAATAGAATCACAGACTCGTTTAAGTTGGAAAAGACCTTTAAGATTATGAAGTCCAGCCATTAACCTAGCACTGACAAGTGCACCACTAAATCATGTCCCTAAGTGCGGCATCTACACATCTTTTTAATACTCCCAGGGCTGGTGCCTCAACCACTGCCCAGGGCAGCCTGTTCCAATGCTTGACAGCCCTTTTTGTGAAGAATTTTTTCCCAATATCCATCCTAAACCTCCCCTGGTGTAACTTTAGGTAATTTTGTCTTGTCCTGTCACTTGTTACTTGGCAGAAGGACACCCAAGTAACGCCAACTTTTCACCACACCATAATATTGTACTGTGATAGAAAACATACAGGTTTTGATTCCCAGCTTTTTTGTAACATAGCTTCACTTGAGAAAAATTAAAACATTCTGGTTTCATCCCATCCTTCTGTGATCAAGATAACAAGCCCAGACATGCCTGTCTGATGCTGGGCAGAACCCATTAGAGTGACTTCCTAGAAATCCTTTTGCTGGGAGGACAATATGAAATTCTCTGTATTTCTCAGGCTTCAGGTCAACATAGGTCCAGCACACTTGTTAATTCAATTTTTCACTATACCTCTTCTTTGAACCATGTAAGAGGTATGCCGGAATGGATGGTGTTAGCACTCTAACACTTGGGAAATGATGTGGGTTTGAGAAATGTGGGCAACATTTAAAAGATTTCTGTGAAAGGTACACGGTACAGCTAGAGATCTGAGTTACTAATAAGTTAATTTAGTGTAGGTAAGCAAAATACCACAAAATGAACGCAGTCCTAAGTGAGAAAATACTGCAAAATTAAGTGCTTTGGTTTTCGTGTTCTTTAGGTCCCCCCTAGTTCCCTCAGGTCCCCTCAAAATATATGACTTTTTCCTTTTAGCTCATTTTTTTAACAAATTAGCTGTTTGGCAAAGCTTTTTTCCTAAGGGACTGAAGCCAAGGGCTATACATATGTGATTTCTTTGAGAATTTTGTAACCAGCTGGCTGATTCTGTCAAGATTTTATGAGGAAAATTAATTATGGCAAGTCTGAAACTTTTAGGTCACATCATGCTGGCAGGCAGGCAGAGGATAGGCATTAAAATTTCCTCAGTCTTGTTCCTCTCTCATTGTTCTATGCCTTATCATGCCAAGGTAAAACCGGCAGCGTGAACTCAGGCCTTGCTAAAGAGGCTGTCTGTGGCTTTTGAACTTGCACTGCATTGAAAGAATTTCCAGCGTTGAGAATCTCATGAGAACTTGAAAACATTTCTCAGTGTTTCTGGTATTTTCTACCTACTTTACTTTCTGACAAAAATTTGAGATAGATGGCTGATCAGTTGTGGAGAGAGAAAAGAGTAATTATATGAGGAAGTGACCTGCATAGAACAAGTCTGATTTAATTATATTTAACACTATAATATACTCAACAGTCTGATTTAGTTATTTATTATAGCAGTACTGCTAGGTATTTGCTATTTGAGAGAGATTGGAGTATATTCAGTAGTTTCGGGGCTCAAATTGTTCATCAGTATAATAATATGTAAAAATCCAAAGCAGTCTGGAAGGTAATCTTAACTGGCATAATTGTCAGTAATTATGCACCAACAATTAATTGAATGGTTATACATGACAATAATTTTTATAGAAAACATTTTTTAAAGAATATCTTGATTCTTTCTTGTCTAGTCTCATTGAATTTATTTCACTGTAATGCTCCAATGCTCCTTTGAGCATTATCAGAACTATGAACATTAAGATTTTAAAGGTATAATAGTAATCAAAACTCTTCATCAAGGAGAAGCCAGGACTCAAGTAAACCATTTCATGTTTATAGACACTTTTGGAGCTGCTATACTAACCACATTGGCTGTCATTTTATTAGATGCTAAAACATAGCCTTTTTGTTAGTCTCAGTTTAAAGAGCCAACAATCATAAATTTTGATGAGCTTACAGTAAAAAAAATGAGGCAATGATTTTCCATTTATTTATTTTTGTTGGTAAGTATCCATAATATCTCTTAATTTGGCAACTTTTAAGAATCATGCAAGCTGAAATGTTAGGACGATCTATATTTTATATGCATAATTTTTCATATGCACATATGCACAAACTACAAATATTTCCTGTAGATTTTTTCTGAAGAATAATTAAAATTTTTAGGCCTGAGAAACAGGTAAATGGCACATATGGTAAAAAAGTATTATACTACTGAAATGCTTTTGCCCTTTTGATTTTTCGAGTGGCTTTTATGCTGAAATACTGAAATTAATTAATGTGCTAACATTTTGTAAACTCTGAAAACAAGCTTACAGTCTAAGAATTCTGAAAGTGTGAATGATTAATCTGAGTTAAACATTCTGGCTTATTAAGAATAGAACATGATGTCATAGGCTATTATAAAATATCATGTCTTCAAACTTTAATAGTGTTTCTTATTTCATTGTGGTGGGTTGGCCCTGGGTAGATTCCAGGTGCCCAGCAAAACTGCTCTATCACTCTGCTCTTCAACTGGACAGGAGAGAGAAAGTATAATGAAAGGCTTATGGACTGAGATAAGAAAAGGAAAATATTATTCACCAACTGCCATCATGGACAAAACAAACTCAGTTTGTAGAAATCAGTTTTATTTATTACTGATCAAATCAGAGTAGGATAAAGAGAAATAAAACCAAATCTTAAAACCAACTCCTGCCACCCTTCCCTTCTTCCAAGGCTTAACTTTCAATTTTAACTGCTCTTGGGGCCAGCTGGCATTGCCTCTGTTTCACATAAGGGAGGCTTCTATCAGTTTCTCACAGAAACAACCCTTGCAGCCCCCATCCTACCGAAACTTTGCCACACAAAACCAATAAATTGATTTATTGAAAGAATTTGATCTCATGATAATTTGGTTGTTCTTATTTTATTTTTTAGACTACTATTTTCCATGTGTTGCTTGTAAATTTAACTGGCAGTATTTACAATGTGATTTAAATTGCTGTTGGAGAGGCAGTATATTAAATACATTTTCCACTCACTAATTTTCATACTGCAGGTTTATTTTACTGCATAGCACCTTAGAAATTTTTTATAATGTGTTTTAATATTACATATATGTTAGATAGAAATTTACTGAGATTACTTAGGAGCCAATGATGTCATATGGTACGTTTTAATTTGTATAAAATATTTTTAACACACAAAGTCAAATCTAAAAGTTGCATATAGAAGAATATTATTTGATAATGCATAGCACTCACTGTTGTCTGAGTTTTTTTTCTATTATTCTTGCTCTTATGATCACTCCTAATAGCGATTTGTGTGTGTCTTTGCATCATTGCATATCTTTGTCTTCACCGTTTTGGTGTTTGTGTTGGTTGTGGTTTCATTTATTTTTAATTTTAATTTTAATTTTAACTTTAATTTTAATTTTAATTTTAATTTTTATTTTTATTTTTATTTTTATTTTTATTTTTATTTTCTTTTTTTATTTCCCAGGAAATAATTGACAAACGGAAGGACCATATGATTAACATAGAAGAGTTCAGGGCAATTTATCGAACCATTGTACACAGACCTGAATTCCTTGAACTTTTCTGTGCTTACTCTCCAAACAACCAAACTCTAGCTCGTGGCCAGGTCGTTGAATTTCTTAAGAAAGAACAACATGAAACTGAAGAGTGTGAAATAACTGCCTTAGAAATAATTTTAAAGTATGAACCCATTCAAGAAGGTAGGCATAGTTTAAGTATTTGATTTCTAATTCTTATTTATTTTATTACTGTCAGTGACTGTGTTTATATTTTTGAATACTTACCTGACAATGCAAACTGAAAATTAATGAAAATGAATGTAAGCAATTATATTATAATTCTGTATGTTATACAATATCTTTTGTAAGCACATGTAAAAATGCTGGTTTTCTTAAAATTCGTATCTTTGAACACTGTGAATGTAATAACACCAAAAAAAATTAATAAAGCACAATAAATTTACATGGCCTATTGGTTAGTGATAGCATATTGCATACCAGATCCATCATTCTTATTTCTGTTTGCAACACTTTGGTTCAAAATCTACGTGATGATTGCTTCAAACAAAACACTAATCTTCAAACTGCAGTAAATCTTTTTAATGCCTATTGAAACTTGAGAATGACAATTATTAGGAAAACAATCTGAATTTTTTTTTTGAGCTAAATTGTTCAAAAATAATTTTGCTTAATAATTTAGAGGAATATGAATATTGGATTAAAAAGATAAAAAAATAGATTGTATTTTGTTAGCAACTGGTCTGTTCAGCACAGGATCTTTGTCTTAGAGAAAATCAATCATAATTAAATCAGTATTAATGAATTAATTTTTTGAGTTTTCAGTATTAAAATCTGAAGACGATATCATTTTTGAAGACTAGAAAATGATAAAATTTAATATAATTAGTATAACTCTACTGACTACTGTGATTCACAGTCGTAATAAAGTGAAAATAAATGTAGTTAAACCCATTGCATTTCAAAGCATATTTTGCAACCAAGGTCCTTCTAATCTTATTTCAGAGTCACATAAATTTTACAGCGTTGTTGATACAGTAGAGATTTTTGCCAGAAGTTTATCTTACAAATGGAAAAAAAATGCATGCTAATAGAGTTTTTTTATAGTACTTATATTTTGTACTATTGAAACTTATGATTTAATAGAATATTCTCCATGAATCATGCTTTTTGCACTTGGTATAATTGAGTGTCATATGGTGGAAAACAACTTCTAAGGATGTGTCTACTGAGAAGACTGAAACCTTAGACAGTTACATTGTGGTTTGCCCTCAGCTGGATATGATTAATAATGACATCAGGGATGCACTGAAGCAGTCTTGCAGATGTGGTGGATTCTCAGCATCTTCACTGGGCATGGAGTCTGATTATTAATCTGTCCCATTATATATACATTGATGTTATTATCCATGGTATTGGGGTTAAAACTATAATTAATTAATAATACTATCTCAAGCCAAAATGCCATTTCCATTTTCTCTTCTGATCAGTCTCTAAGAGTAGGTCTCTAGACACAGACTTCTACTATCACAGAGTCATGGAACTGTTTAGATGTAAAGGGACCTCTGGAGAGCAGCTACTGTAGCTTTTTGTTCAAAGCAAGGTTAACAATGACTTTAAAATAGGTTTCTCAGGATATTTTTTTCAGTCAAAACTTGAAAACATCTGAGGACAGAGATCCGTAGTCTCCTTCATGTACCCAGAAATGGCTTCCAAGAGTTCTTACACGAGGAAATAACTGGCAAACTTTCAGTTTCCTGAAATTAATGATAAAATCATAGAATCATAGAGTGGTTTAGGTTGAAGGGACCATTAAAGGTCACTGAGTCCACCCCCCCTTTAATAATCAACCAGATCAGGTTGCTCATCTATCACCTCTCTGGGCAACCTGTTCTTCTGTTTCACCACATGCATTTCATACATTTATTGCTTTAAAAGACTTTTATTTTTATATATTGTTTTCTTTTTGTGTTTCAATTTCTTTGTTTTCATGGTGGTTTGCTTTCTCTGCTCTCTGTCCTTTAGTTAACTTTTCCCCTTGTCCTTCTGTATGTTCTGTTCCTCAGGTCACTCTTGGTCATTACACACCATTTTTTACTTTAGTTTTCTCTGGGTTCTTATCTGCCATTTTACTTGTCTACTCATTTTACTGTCTTTTCTCGAGTCATTTAGTGATAATGCACACCCTCTTCCTCCATCACCCAAAGACTTATATGTCCCCGTAACTGACTTGCAGAAGCAGCAAGGTGTAAGATCCTCATAGGTGCCTAATCACCTTCTCTGAAGCATAAGAACTCCGAGATGAGTGAAGTAATATGCATATTCTCCAGCTACAAAAGACTGCCTCAAGTTATGGTGTAACATTTCTGCTGAGCTTCACTGAACATAACTTGAGGCAAAATTTTCAGCTAAGCTAAGTAAAGGAAATCAGAGCTAACTGAATTTCACTTCAAGCTGTTACTTTGGCCAGTAGAACATGAAGCTCAGATGTTTAGCTTTGTCAGTTTCCTTTGGTTCTCTGTCTTTGATAATGGGAGGAAATGATTACTGATTAAGAAAAATAAAACCCAAGAAGGAGAAAGTCTTCCTTTTGGGATAATAGCCCTGGAAGATCTCTCTGAGCATTCACACTGTGGTTGAAAGGGAAAACTGGATTACTCTTTCAACAAGAAACAGAAAACATTCAGTTTCATTAAGAGTCACTCACTAATAGCTACAGGACCTTTGATTCCTTATGCCATTGCTATTTGAGGTAGCCTTTCAAATAGAACATAATTTACTGAATCCATTCCACTCTTTCTGAGAACTAATGTTTACTAATTAATTATACAATAAGTGAATGGTTTATCTATTTGTATGGGAAAGTTAATAGCTATAAAGTTGTTAAACTATGAAGACTCTTTACTCAGTTAGAAAACACATTTGTAAACATCAACTGAACTTTCTATGTTTTTCAGTTCAATGTCTGGTTTAAATTTCAGATGCTGAGCCAAATTCTTGTTTGTTTCTTCATCTGTGATAAAATTGTTTATTTTGCAATTAGAAATAATCTTACTGAATGAAATAATAGTTGCATTATTCATGCTCCTTCAAGGGAACTAATACTCCCACTCAAACATATTTATTGGAAAGTTCCAGTTATGACTGACATGGCAGTTCATTCATATGGTATTGAGGCACACCACACCCATTTTGTGTAACTGTTATTCTGAATTTGGTGTGGAATATTCTTCATGAGGATGACTCACTGGACTCATCTGCTATCCTTGTCCGGTGTATTGCAGAAAGGAAAAAGAGCAGACTGACACTTGATTACCTGGTTTGCTAATAGTAACAAGCATTATCTGTTAAACTTGATAGCACTAGTATGTCAATATTAATAAGAAAGCAGTGACTAGATTTTATATACAACATTTTTTAAGTCCATCTATAACCTTTAGTGCATCCCTAACATTAGTGTACATATAGAGAAGATCCAAATGTGACTTTTGTTCTATACTTTCATTTGGTTATGTTTCCATTTTACAATTCATTTTGCAGACAAAAAGTATTGCTCATTATTCAGTATTTGAGTGGATGCAACTAGAATCAGAGTGAAGATAAGAAGGTGTATCCCACTATTATTTACAATGTAATGCTGTTCAAAGACTCTACTCCTGCCTATTTTCCTGCTAGGCTGTACAAAACCAGCTCAAAAATGCAATCCTGTCTTGGAAAACTTGCTTACTTTGTGAATAACAATATAAGCTTGGTGCATCTGTCTGATAAAGAATTTGAGTAATCATAGAATTATAGAATGGTTTGGTTTGGAAAAGACCTTAAAGATCATCTAGTTCCAACCCCCAATCCAGAATGTATTTATACAATTGTATAATAATAATATAAAAATATAAAGATGCATTGTATATTTATATGCAAAATATATAAATATATAATATTATTAATATTGTTTATTTAAAACCTCGTTTTCAGCTTATTCGAAGGATATAAATTCTTTTAAGCTTGTTTTTTGCGTGAGACAGATAAAGACAGAGAGCATGCCTTTGTAAGAGAAAACTTTTGATCCCATTGGCCACTCTATACCAAATTTAACAGAGCAGATTCTTCTACAGATTTCATAAAAGGTTGCATGAAATCAGAAAAAAGATTTAAACTATATCCTTATTGTAGCTAAGGCAATATTTCTGTCCTTACTGTTCATTTAAAGCATAAATGCTTTAGTCTGATATTAAGTAGTCAGATTTCATAGTACTAAATCCAATTTGTCAATATTTCTGTCTTGATTATATTATTACCTGATACCTTTAACAATTATTGAAAGCTTCCTTCTTCCAGTGTAGCAGAATAATACCCTTGTCTCTGAGTGCAATTATTTCTCAAGAGTTCATCCCTAAAATTCCCAGCAGATGTATTTGTACTCATTTCGATATTTCTGATGGCCAAGTAACATAAGCATTTAATTACTAATTCAGCTATTAGGATATAAAGCATACACACATTTAATACCAGGGAAAACACTTTTCTCCTGTTTCCAGGCTCAACTTTAGATCATTTTCCTCTCCTCCACATTTCCTAGTCTTACTTCAGGCCATACATCTCTCATAGTCTGAAACTGCAGGCTGTGCTCAGTTTCTTCAGTGAGGAATCAGGTCTTACATGTTGCTGTGGTCAATGCATTTATAGATTTCTTTCTGCCACTTCAGCTTTGTCACACTTTAGTTGTATGCAGTTCAAGGACAGCAGCTACATATACCTGGGAATAAATTTTATAAGCCAATGTAATATAAGGCTATGTAATAAGCTGTATAAAAATACAAATATTCTAGTATTTTTCACTAATATAAAAGACAAATAAAAAAAAAGGAAATGGAGTTAGTGGTCCAACTTCTAATTACATAGAGAAATATACAGAACATGAAAAAGAAATTAATCAGAAATGAAACCCAGATACTATTGATGAAAGCCTTCGCTTCAAGCAAATCGAATTTACAGTTCACTTAATTCATTAGAGATAAAACATATGGAATTAATGTATTCTGGTTTGAGCAACATATATAAAAAATTAAAAATATTAAAAAAAAAACCTATAAAGTAGAATATTAATCTTATTGCTACAAGTTTAAAACAATATAACATGTGCATGTGAATAAATCTAAAATGTCAATATACTAAAGATGATGCAACTATCAAGAATCATCAGGGTAGCAGTAAGTTATTTTGCAAATAAATTAAAAGAAAGACCAAGGAAATTCTTGATGCACTACCTAAGTACTATTGGATGGCTAATATTATTAATGTGACCAGAGCAAGATCTCAGCCAAAACTGGGGAAAAACCCTGAGTAGGACATGCTTAAATGGCTTAATCAGGTCAGTGAAAACAGGTTGACAAATGTGAGTTCTTAGAAAATTGATTGTAACAAGGTTGGCTAATACAGGTTACCTTTGAAAAGCTGTGGAGAATGAATAATGAATTGAAAGACTGGTAAAGATAAAATCTAATATCTATTTTAGAAAGGGACCATCCAAAAAAATAGGCACCAGTCAATTACCAGGAAAAAAATGGTAAAATAATGGACAGGTAATCACCTCTAAGATGGTAAGGATGAGTAACAGTTTGTCAGGTCTTACCATAAAGAAATAGTACGCAGTTTTCTTCTATGAGAGAGTAGAAATGATGGTGGATAGAAGAAAAACCATACTTTTTAACACTCCCTTGCATTCTAAAAAACAACTTGAGGAAACAGGCAAAATAACTACAAGGTACATAAGGAATTCATTAGATAACTACTCTGAGAAGTTATTAATCCATGAGTTAGAGTGAAAAATGAAAGGCTACATCAATCTACACTTTCACTGAGCATTCTTTTGGATCCAGACTTCGATTATGTCATCAATAATCTGGATGATGGAATAGAAATTAATTTTATTTAGGTTTTACACCAAAACTTCAAGTATAATAGGGAACAAGATTAGAAATCAGTGATCTGGGCAATTGAATGATATAGAAAGGAAGGGTAGAGTTCAAAAGGAGAAGAACTATGTTCCATTTAGAGCATCAAACATTAAGAAGGAAGTTCACCAGATTGAAAGAGTTGCAAAATAATAACTAAAATTATCAAAAAATATAATAAAATATAGCCTGAATAGAAAGATGCACTGAATTGGATTTGTTTCTTCTGGAAAGAAGTGGAATGAGGGGAAGTGTAATAGCAGTGTTCATATATGCACAAGACTGTGGAACCAAAAGGAACTAGTACAAACCAGAATAAATATTTTGTACAGCAAAGAAGTTTCAGGGTAAATATTGTAGAAAACACTCTAACAATAGGTTTACTTAGGTGCTGAAATGGGATTATGTAGCTGTCTGTGGATTCTTCATTAATCAATGCCTTTAAGAATAGCTTCTACAAACTTCTGGTAGGGAGACATTTGTATGGTTAAGGACAACAGTGTATGTATATATGATGCCTGGAGGGCCTTCATCCTTATTTTCGATCCCCGTTTAGCCTTTTTAAACATTGCAACGTTTCCTTGTTCAAAAACTGACATAATTTAGAAATACTTATTTTATTCGTGTTACTATCAGAGTGATTTTCATGAATTCAGATAGAAAACTTTCAGTCTGTACACATACTGAAGATTGATAATTGCACTTCTAATCTGCAATTTGTGATTCTTATATTTCTATTGAGAATTAACAGGTCCAGTAAGTTTTTCGGGTTTTGGCTTTGGGTTGCTTGGGGTTATTTGTCAGAAGTTTGCATACATTGATCTCTAAGTTCTCATTAACAGAAAGTAATCTTGGATTACTTACTGCTTAATTATCACTAGCCTACCGTGGTGACAATAATAAGGTTATTTTAGAGATGGAACTGGGCAAAATCCCTGACTAATTCAAACTAGGTTATGTTTGAAGTAAAGCTGACTTCCGAAATTATACCATTTGCAAAATTACTACATTTGAAGCATGACATTGGAGTAGCAGTTGGCAGTATAATAGATCTGTTTGTCATTAAATGAATTAAAAACAAAACAAATGAGATGACTATTGCTGGTATGGCAGCAATTAGCATGTTTGTTTATAAATGCAGGTCGAAAGAGGTGATCCTGCCCCTCTACTCTGCTCTTGTGAGATCTCACCTGGGGTATTGTGTCCAGTTCTGGTGTCCTCAACATAAAAAGGACATGGAACTGTTGGAACAAGTCCAGAGGAGGGCCACGAGGATGATCAGGGGACTGGAGCACCTCCCATATGAATATTGGATATAAGGAAGAAGTTCTTTACTGTATGGGTGCTGAGGCACTGGAATAGGTTGCCCAGGGAAGTTGTGAATGCTCCATCCCTGGCAGTGTTCAAGATCAGGTTGGACAGAGCCTTGAGTGACATGGTTTAGTGTGAGGTGTCCCTGCCCATGGCAGGGGGGTTGGAACTAGATGATCTTAAGGTCCTTTCCAACCCTAACTATTCTATGATTCTAATAAGCTTGATTTGCAATTCATCTTTGTGAGCAGTGTCTTATATTGTTTAGATGCTATTTTTTATTTCAAATACTTTAAATTTTGATGTTATTTCAGCAGTATTTATTTGGAACTTTCCATCACTGAAGAAGACATTTTGTGCTAGGAATTATGGTTTCTGCAATATTGCTTTGACAGTCTCCAACTGACATTTTGGAGAATAATTCCTATTCTTTCTACAGAGAGCAGAAGATTATCTTTATACGTTGACTGGCATGTTACTTTCCAAAATTAAGACTAAAATATTTTCCTTTATATTTAATTAGGACTACTGCAAGCTCTTCCTACTGGTGCCCAAAGAGGAATAAAAATGTCAGAGCATATTTATTTCCTGTCATAATTTTTAACCAAAGCAATTCAATTACAGAATTGCACATATCTGGTGTTTGTTATTTATATTGTTTGTTATGAGTTCTAAAATTGCAGGAAAGTGTTATGCTGTATACCCTGTAGCAATGTTCAGAATTGGCTATTAAAAGTTATGGAAAGTACACAGCTATAATCATCAGTTTAAATTCACCCCAGAAATTTTTGCTTTCTTTTTTGTTCAGTGAGAAAAAGAAGGCAGCTGTCATTTGAAGGATTTATAAGGTACATGGCTTCTGAAGAGTGTTCTGTATTTAAAAGCCATCACAGGACAGTCTACCAAGATATGAACTACCCATTATGTGACTACTTTATTTCATCTTCTCACAACACTTACTTGATATCTGACCAACTCATAGGACCCAGTCATTTATGGGGATATACCAGGTATTTAGCTTTTAAAATATGTTTATTTGACTGTTAACTGTTTTAAAATATTTTAAGTATTCTTTTTTTTTCAGTGAATATTAAGTCATACATAAACCTGCTTAGCAATAAGGAGCAAAAAATCACAGATACAAGTAGAATGGTATTTTATCACAGATACAAGGGAGTGGTATTTTATTGTGTGTGTACACTTTTCAATATAATTGCCAAACCATCTGCTCATAGTCTGGAAACAATCTGTTGTGTTTTTTTTTCACTTGCATCTGAAAATATCAGCCTTATAGCAAATGAAATCTATAGTATGCTGCACGGAATATGATCAAGATTGTCAGTTTTTAACTTCAACATGCCATGCTAAAATAAATAACTCTCTGTAATAAATGTATACAGGATATAAGGGCATAGTATAGTGGAGTATGTCGAAGATATCTGTGATCAGTATATGTTGCAATGTGTTCAGTTAATAAATAAATAAATAATAATAAAAAAAAACTGTGGGCAGTAAAGTAGCCAGGAGAGAGAAGAAAGTTTTTGAAAGTTTCGCATATGACTCCAAGAGGGGTAGGAGACCAGTATGCCTTACTACCAAGACACATTTAGAAGAAATGATTAGAAAAGGAGAAAATGGGTTATGTATTAAACGCAACCCAGAGGGGGACAGAGCATGATGAACTTGGAAGACAGGTGTCCATCATTCTTATTACTTTGCCCTACTTCAGTAAAGTGAAAGCAGCCAGAACCACTATCTACCCAAACTTTTTTGTTTTGGTTGTTCTCTGGATATTCTCTCATAGCTTCCAACCATGAGAAACACTAGAGAACTTGCTTCTAAGAGTATCTGAAATGATATGACATTGATACTATATTGCCAAAAGTAAATGCAAACAAGGTATATCCCTCCCCCCTTATCTACTGATTGTGTAAGGAAAATATAAAATGCTAAAAAATAAGCTAGAAGTATCTTTGAGATAGTTGTAGCATGTAAAAGGCATCATGTAAAAGACAGATTAGTAATTAGGTGAAATAGTCTACAAGAATGTTTAAATTAATAACAAGCTAAATGTTGAAGCCTAAGAACTTTAAGGGATGCCCTTAAAGTAATAAAATTAAACCAGAGTAAATTTAAGTAATTCAAGAAACTTTTAGCACTCAGTCTTAGAAATAAGGTGGGGAGAACAACTTGATTATGCAAAGGTCAAGCACAACATGATTCTGTAAGTAAGCATGGTGCTGTTAGTTTTATGTAATGATGCTCAAAGTTCAGACATGTAGCATTTAGTTGGCCGATTAAAACCTTTCTTCTTCTAATTTAAGCAACAATTGCCATTATTCCAGATTTATTTTACTTGAATCTTTGGTCCTCTCTTTTTGTTGCTTATAAGGTTATTCAGATAATCCATCTTATTCCTTAATGTTCTAAGTTTATCTAAGTTAAGATAAATATCAGAAAATCTAGCCTTGTCTCATATCTGTATAATCTTAGTTCTATAGGATTTCTTTTGTGATGAAAAAGTGAGGGTTTTTGGTAATAATTCAATGTGCTTGTAATCAGAGATACAGTGACTTCTAAGAGAAAGCATGGTATCTTTCTTTTGACTGTAAAATTATTTCTCTTGTTCTTTTGAAGTGCTCTCTTAAAAGGATGTCGTTGCTTGGAAATTGACTGCTGGGATGGCCCAAACAATGAACCTGTTGTCTATCATGGTCGCACTTTGACGAGCAAAATTTCATTTCGTTCTGTAATTCAAATAATAGAAAAGTATGCATTTGAGGTATGTATATATAAATAAATGTTGTATGAAAAGTGATGATGGCTTTAGCAAAGCTCCATGACATGGTTGTTTTCAGGGATTCTCCAGGGTGAAAAAATATGGGACAGAGACAGTGTTTCTGGCAGTAGGCACTGTTAGAATAAATTATGGGAAAAAATTTCTATCTCTTTTTGACATATAAAAAAATATATATTTAATATATATTATACTATATTTAATATACATTATATTATATTTAATATACATTAATTTTATTTAAGGAAGCGTAAACATAGTTTTCTGAAAATTATTATAAACCAAACTTGGTGGAAGGAATTCAGAAGATCTTACTACATTTGTGAGGTGTAATTGTCTCCTGAGGTCATTTAAGGAAGGACCAAATATAAACTACTTCAGAACAACTACTTCAGAATCAGTCTGGTTTACTCCTTAGTATCTTTTAATGTTTTTATTCCACTTATTCTTATGTTGCTATCAGTCTGTCTTACATCCTAGGCCTGAATTTATGAAATAGAGAAAAATGTTAGACTATAACTGGGTTTGAGACTTAATCTGTTTTCCATTTCTTCTCTTTTTATTTTGAATTCAACCCTGATAAAGATTACCATCTACTGCTGCCTTGTTATCAGGTGACTCACTAGGGCAATGTCCCTTCTGCCTATGTGGCAAAGGATTGAAAGCTGGGCAGCTTTTGGTGCTATGTCAGTCTTTTGTACCAGTTTTTGGCAAAACTCCTGCTCAAATGAAGTCCTGAAAGAATATTAAGATAACTCCTGTATTCTGACCAGCAATATATATATGAATATATACACTTGTGGTCATACATTTATATGGGGCTTTATACATATATATTTATAGACTTCTCAGAGTTATGCAAAACTTTTTTTTATTTTTTTCTGTTCTTATTTCTATATAAAATGTAATTAGTCTCATTTTAAAAGATAATGAAAAAATAATATGCTTTTATTTCACTCGTTCATAACCTGTTACATATAACTCTCCTTTTTTTGCTCTTTCATGGTATATTGTACATAACTGTACTACAAACTTTAGCAGGCACAAGTTATAATAAGAAGATAAAATCACAATAGGTAATGTTTTTTATAGCTGCATAACCAGCCTAAGGTGTTTTTCTATTAGTGGTCAATAACAGATGTTCAGGGGAAAGAGTAAAACCAGGGTACACATAAAAGGGTACTTCCGTTAGGAACTGATAGTTTAGGTCCTTCCCAAGCAAAGGTTTTATTCAGAGTATTTGTTTTTAGTAGCCACCAGTATTACTGGTAATTTATGGGAGTTATTTACACAGTCTAAATGGACAAGTGTCATTTGATTTATTCTCTAATTTTTACTCAATTTCTCATATTTCACCTGTCTTTTTTGAGTACTCTGGTGAATAAGGTGTAGAGTCCCAAGAAAAGTTTGCAGTATGTAAAAATACACATAGCTTGTTCATGTGAAGGCAATGATTTCTGAGCAAATTTTAAGGGTACTGCCAACTTGAATGCAGTTAATTAAAACCTGTCATAAAAAAAAAAAAAAACGACTTTAAGTCCTGTTACTTTGTCATTTGCAATGTTGGAATCTGATTTTATGTTTTAAAAACAAAAAAATTGTCTCATTTCATAACAAAACTGTGTAAAAAAAGAAGGAAATTCTGTACACAAAACAAACACTATCTCCACAAAGCAGAGAAAAGTTTTAAGTCAATGTTCCTTACACTAAGCTGGTGGCTACAATTTATATTTTACTGAAAGCCAATTTTGCCAAAAACCAATTTTGCCTTGTTTATCATTGTTTTTTTCATTGTCCTTTACAATAAATGCCAGGCACTAAAGGAACTATCACTAAAATATGTCAGATGTAAATTTAAAGGTACACAATCATGTCAAAGCTTACAAGGTCTTTCTATAGGTACATAAAAATTGGAATAATATTGTTTTCTGTATTTCTTTTCCTTTATTTCCCCTTATTGAAATTATTTTTCAGAAAACTTAGTCATTGTTTCTAAAAAAAATCATCTACCTAATGTAATAATTCCCTGCTGGGATGTCTTAGGAAACAAAATTTCAGAGAAGTTGTGACATTATATTTAGGTACAGAATAAGGAGCGTATATTAGGTTTGAAGATATGAAGTTTTCTTTAATTTTGAAAAACACAAAAAGGTCCAAAATGTGGTGCTTTTAGAATTCAGAATGTTTGAAGTCACCTTTGAAATTAACCTAAATAACTTTTTATGCTTTAATATGTCTGGGAGTTTTACCTCATTGCCCTTTCCTTGCAAATTCATTTGATAAGAACTCTTTCAGACACGATAGCCAATGCATCATTCTTTAAAAGCTCTGTATGTCAGCTGAGCCAATGACTCCATAAGAGGTAGTGTTTTTTCCTTCCAGATTATACTCTGACCTGTGCAATTGAATCAGCCTGATTTTTAGCTGATTAAACACTTATTTTCTCTCCTACTTTCTTCACATACAACATTAATCAGGACATTAAATGCCTCTGATAAATTATATTCTATAGAATATTGAACAAATAAACTTCAACATGTGTTTTCCAAAGATCAGCACAGATATTACTTGGTTTATGTAACGAAGTATTGTGTCAGTAACTGATCTTCATTCAATTTCACTAGTTGTTTGGGTTTTGTGTTCTTTCAGTTCTGTATATGTTTAACCTTGTTTTAGTCACCTCTTAATTTCCTGAAGATGCACTTTTTCCCTTCTTCAATTGTGCTTTCTCTATTCTGTAAATATTGTGAGCTTTTTTATTGCTACTAACCTGAAACAAGTAACCTATATTATGAAAGTTTTGAAAATAAAGGAAAATACAGATTACCGAGAAGATTTTTGTAAGTTATTGTGGGGAAATCAAGTAGTCCTCTCTTATTTGTTTATAACAAAAGCCTTTAAATTATATTTCCAGGTGTCTGACTATCCAGTTGTACTGTCTTTGGAGAACCACTGCAGCCCTCAGCAACAGGAAGTAATGGCAGACTATTTAAAAAGTATTCTAGGTGAAAAACTTCTGACTTCCACATTTCATGAAGCAAGGGTGACTGAACTGCCATCTCCTGAGGTAATTACATTTTTCCCTCTGTAAGACAGGGGGAAAAAAAGCACTGTGTTTTTATGGTTTTTTTGGAGTTTTTTTTTTTCTTTTGATCTTCTGAAACTGACTTTATGAAACTGCTAATCTGGTGTCTGAAATAGACTTCAAGCAGTAACAAAAAATAATTAGACCATACACACACACAGAATAACTTGATAAACTAAAAAGGAAAGGTAAAAACTCAATCATGTGTATTGATATATGGAATTTTTTGTTTAAAGGAAAACAGGTTTTACTATAATGTTGAACCATTTTTTTTTTAAAGCTAACATACTAATATTTTTGCAAAGCTTTAGATCTTCTAGTTAATATCAAACCAAGTTCTGGTGTTTTGGATGCATTAAAAGTTTTATTTTATATGGAAGAAAAAAAAAGTTGTGTGTTGAAGTTTATTTTGTGTGGCATCTTGCTTTCTTAAACCATACTTATTAACACTGTATTAACTGCATATTAAAAACTGAGTAGCAATACTGAAATGACTCTGGTTTTACTTTAAGTAAATTATTACTTACTTATTAAGAATTAAGTTATAGTGTGGTTCATCTACAGTAGTCCTATATTGGAGACACAGTAGCCTAAACACAGAAAATGGCATCTGCCTTTAAAGAGAGTGGATTTATACACAGGGAATACCTTGCTAAGGACTGTAGAAGTAAGCACTACTGAATTTGAACTCTGAATCTGACAGCTATGTAAAGACCTGAGTAATTTATTTTCAGAGATTTCAAGTTTTCAAGTTATTGATATGTTGTATTATAATGAACAGCTTCAAAGTTCCTGATGACCTGTAAAGTCAACATTTTGAGGTTAAACTGAACAATCTCTCCTTCTCTCATCTTTCCTCTTCCTTTTCTCTGAAATGAGGCTTCCAGTGTGCTAGTTTTAAAAGAGGAAACAAAGTATAAATTTTTAAACAACATTAAACTTTGATCCAAAATTAAAAAATCTTCACCTTGAACATGTTAGGGTATCTGGTTTTCTGTGTATTTATTTGTTGTTCCTTAGTTTAAAAAATGAATATTGAATTTTAAAAATGTTATTGAAATGGAAACCTGAATCTACATTGTTTTTGTTAATGACAATTTTGATGAAACTATTTCATCAACTTTGGTTACTTTCACTCTTTCTCAGTGTGTTTCTCCCTAAAGCAGTGTTTCTCAGCTGGTGGATTGAGACACCTGGGGTATGAAGTCAGAAAAGGCAATTAGATGGGTGTTGAAAATTTTATTGTAAACGCAAAGAAATAGATTCCTATTGTTCCAGTCTTTGCACATAATTTTCTTTCAAGGACAAAAGATTTTTTTTATATCTTGTAACACAAATGTATGCATGCATATAAAACAGTTATTTAGGCTTCTCACTGTTATCAGTGATATATCAGATATATTTTATATCTTTTTTTTTTAATAAGTAGCTGAAAAGAAACAATGCAAATGAAAAAGTGGGGAGGAAGCACTGTCATAAGGAAAGAGAACACAGAGATGTATTTTTGTAAAGGATTTGTTACAGAAAAAACACTTGAAGTGGTATGGCCAAAGACTTGCTAAAGTATTACCATACTATTATAAATTTCTCACTAAGTCATCATATTCATTTTTTAGATTTTAGCATAATATTTTTTATATCACGTTCAATATCATTTTGCATCCTTGAAAACTGTTGTGTACATTAGAAAAAAATATAAACTGTATTAAACATGATGGTTTGTTTTAAAGCTTCTCAAAGCATAGCTGCATTCAGTCTGATAGAGGTCTAAGGATCATATGTCTTCCATATAAAAAAAATCAGTCTACTACGTCTGAATCACAGACTCACTAAATCAGACACTTAAAAATGTTACTTTCTATGAAATATGTCCCTTACCATAAGTTTACTGTGATACATGGAATTCATACTTCATATTTCCATAGCTTGTAGTTTTCATAATTTTCCTCTATACAAGCTTGTCTGCAAATGCATAGCTGGATTCCATACTTACCCCTCGCTTAAATGTATGCTGTTCAGGTGAGATTCATTCCACAGGACTTTTAATCTTTCAAAGTTGTGTGGGATGTATTCCACATATTTGTAAGATGTAAAAGTTACCTGAATACCACTGTCCTCAGCTGATTTACAGAAGTTTGATTTTAATAAATTGTTACATTGAGAATGAACAAGAATTAGGATCATGTCCATTTCTCTTAGCTGCTCTGATCAAGCATGTAAGAAAAATCATTAAGATTTTATTTTGCAGTGGAAATTTGTAGCTATGACTGCAAATACAGTGTTAATCTTGAGTTTTGGATAGCATCCTTTAGAAGAACCACTTTTAGTCCATGCTCAAAATTATTTTATTGGCATCACATCCTTACAGCTTGGGACCTTGTGCACATTCAAGGGCTGGGTAAATTAATTATCCTTTGAGTGAGACAGATGCTGAACTTAGTCTTAAGCCTGCTTTACGTAAGCAATGCAAATGTGATGTTACTGAACCATAAATGATGCATTTAAAATGTTCACGAGAAGGATGCTAGGTTAGTGTAAAAACCATAGTTGTAACCTACATAATTTTCTGTTCCACTTTTTTCAAGATGGAGCATTAGCAAGAATAGGGAAGAAACTTGCATCTGATATGATTCTATAATAACCCAGCTGATAAAGCCATCCCAGGAAAAAAAAAATATATCAGAAATGTTAATACCAATAACAGAGTAAAGATACTGTTATTTAAACATAGCAGTTTTCTGATTTCTAATGTAAGTGTAGTGAAATATAGTAAATTTCAGGACGATTAATGTTCATTGTAACTGCTGAGATGTGAGATTGGTTCGTGTGGTTAGTGTTGATTGGCATAGCTAAGGTGCAGTAAATACACTTGCTCAGAGGTTTGTACAACCAATAGCCTAATAACTAGCTTTGAAAAAATAAAAAATAAATTCCTATCCCAAATGCAGGCTGGGAAACTGGTCCACCTGGCTACAAAAGTATTCTACTTGCAAAAAGCAAGGGGTTTTTTTGTTTGTTTTTTTTTTTTTTTTTTTAAGAAATCACACTGTCTGATTTACTTTTACTTTGCAGAGTTCTGTTCAACATGTTCTGTGGCCAGCATACATTCCTTTTACCTAGGTTATTAGCTTTTTCCTACTCATGTTGTACAGGATATGCTTTTAAATTCTGTTCTAAATATTTATTTAAAATTATGTTGTTTTCAGTGTTGTTTCTTTTTTTAGACTGCTACACTCTTACATCAAAACAAAATGAAAGTAGGTGATAAATTGTTTATATGCTAATATATTTACTTATCTTGATTCTAAATCGACATAGATGTCACACTAAAGTAGCGCAGTATTAAGGTGAATATACTTCAAGTCACTTTCCTGTGGCTGTGTGTGTATAGGGATGAATTTAATTATTCTGATTTACAAAATTAAGGTATTGGGATTAGAGTTTTAGTGCATTACTTCCATTTCCCCTACAATCTTGTTTACCTTCTTTTGTCATCTTTGTCTACCTTGAGTTCATCTCCACCTTCCACATTTCTGGATGAATCTTAGCAAGAAAGATGGGAAGGAAGTCTTTTGCTCTTAGTTGAAATTAATAATAACCACAGAGACATTTTTATAATATGCTTTGTTGGAGAATAGTCCAATCTAATAATATTCCTAGAGGCACAGCACAAAACTCTACTGATACACGTCTCACCTGCCTATAAATGTAATGGGCATCCTTCTGTCCCTTGAGTTTTCTGATTGTGTCACAGCAAGTTAATTATCACTTAGTTGTCACCTCTTGTGTTCATAAGCTGTGTTATTGCCTCCTTTGCCAGTTTTTTCTTTAACAACCTGCTAATAAGATTCCTCAAAGACCTAACTCTGGGCTAACCAGCCCTCCCTTTTTCTCTCAGATTTCTTTGGCAAGGACTCTTAACATTCAGCTTCTCCCTGTCACACAAGACTGAAACATTATGCTTCTTGGGTTGGAAATCCTTCTCATCTGTCAGCTGCTGTTATTCTTTTGCTGTGAAGGGGTAAATGCAGCTCATGCAAGGCTTCCTTTTTAATACCAACTTCTCAATGTTCTTCAAGATCTGAATCAAATGGTTCCCTTGTCTGAAAAGGAAGAGGAATGCCACATGATTCTTCCAAACAACTCCACAGAATCATTTGTCAGTTACAGGTTCATGTTTAGATCTTGGAGATTTGGAGATCTCCACAGAAATTATTTTCTCCTCTGTTGCCTGATCAGTCCCCTACTTCCTTTTCTATGTAGATTTTGAGCTGCACCTTTGCCAGTTGAGATGACTGTGTGTGTCTGGAAGATGGTTTAAAATGCAGAGCAAATCCATTCTTAGGTGCTTCCTTGGACCACAGCTCATGCATGATGTCTCCTACCATTTGACGACTGGAAAAAGGGAAATATAACCCCCATTTTCAAGAAGGGGAAAATGGATGACCCAGGGAATTACAGACCAGTCAGTCTCACCTCTGTGCCTGGCAAAATCTTGGAGCAGATTCTCCTGGAAGGCATGCTAAGGCACATGAAAAACAACAAGGTGCTTGGTGACAGCCAGCATGGCTTCACTAAAGGGAAATCTTGCCTGACCAATTTGGTGGCCTTCTATGATGGGGCTACAGAACTGATGGAGAGGGGTAGAGCAGCTGCTGTCATCTACCTGGACTTGTGTAAAACGTGCGACACTGTCCCACACGACATCCTTGTCTCTAAATGGGAGAGACATCAATTTGATGAATGGACCACTCGCTGGATAAAGAACTGGCTGGATGGCTGCATGCAAAGAGTTGTGGTCAATGGCCCAGTGTCCAGCTGGAGACCAGTAACGAGTGGTGTCCCTAAGGGATCGGTGCGGGGACTGGTCTTGTTCAGCGTCTTTGTCGGTGCCGTGGACAGTGGGATTGAGTGCGCCCTCAGCAAGTCTGCCGATGACACCAAGCTGTGTGGTTCGGTTGATAAGCTGGAGGGAAGGAATGCCATCCAGAGGGACCTTGACACACTTGTGAGGTGGGCTGATGCCAACCTCATGAAGTTTAACCATGCCAAGTGGACAGAGCCTTGTGTGACATGGTTTAGTGTGAGGTGTCCCTGCCCATGGCAGGGGGGGTTGGAACTTGACGAACTTAAGGTCCTTTCCAACCCTAACTATTCTATGATTCTATGATTCTATGTATGCCTAAGAGAAAATCATAAGGAGATCCAGAAAAATATTGGATGGTCATGAATGTTATTGCTTTCTGCTCTTTTTTCTTTCTTCTGTGTTACAAAACCTTCTTGCACTGAAACACAAACCCCATAAAACTGCAGGGAAAGATTATGTTTTAATCCTTTGGCTTCAGTTATATGTTCATTCTGCAGCTAGCTATACTAGTCTTGTTAATTCCCTGGAATATTACTGTATTCTACAGCATCCCAATGGACAATTCTCCCTTGACATGTGGAGTAAAGGAAAGAAAGGGCTTTTGCACTGTTTCTTTCACACAGCCCTTATCAAAACTGAGGCCACCCTTGAGTTTCATCAATCTCTTCTACTGTATCTACCCTGTTACTTCTTTCCCATGCATATGTTTTTCCAACCAAATCAACAGGCTCAGTACAGTCCTTTCCTCACAGTCTTGGCTGTGATGATGCCTCTAAAAAGACTTCATGAATTTCCTTTAATATTTTCTGGAATATCAGGCCCTTTGAGCCAGTTTGCACATTAGATTATATTTGACATCACTGAGTGATACCAGAGATTCCTGATGATTGCACCAGTATTGTATTATGCTGATATAAAGTGACAGAATGTGGTGTCTTGTGCAGCGCCTATGCAGTGTAGATGAACTTAGAAAATATTAGAATCCTAAAAATGAGATCAATTTTTATTTACCCTGCTGAATCCTTACTCTCTAATGTGTTTGACAGATACTGAAAGAAACAAGTAAGCCTCAAATGTAGCACACAAAAAATGTTGTAAACACACTGATGCTTTTGATGAATGTTTGTTCCTCAGTTACTTTGCATTGTAGTACATCAAAGTACCTTATACTGCTGGCATGATAGGTACATGAACTAAGGAATTTTTCATTATTTGCAGGTTTCCTATCACAGAATTGGAAAGAAATATTGAGGCATCGTTAACTGAAATTGAAGTAGCAATTACTGTTGCTTTACAAGTCATCTTTAATCTTTACCACAGATCTGGATGATTAATTACTATACTGTAGATGTTCAGAAACATTTCTGTCCACAGTCACCCAGATTCTGAGTTGCAGATTCTTGAACCATGAGCAGCAGGTCAGCTAATAGGGTTATTTGCAGCATATTGGTGGAGCAGTTACACTCCCCTCTTTTTCCTTAAAAGTCTCAAATAAATGCAAAATCATCTGCACTAGAACTTTCTCCAAGACTACTGTCAGATGTCTTTTTGACTGATGGAGTCCTTAGGTAAAACTGGCCAAAGAATTGCCAGCTAAGGTTTCTGTTTTTCTATGGAATCTAACTTGCTGCCAATGGTTTATAATAGGTCAATCCTCTAAGCCATTAGCAAATTGATTCTTTTATCTTCGGAGTTTGGTTCTTGAGTGGGACTCTTTCCAGTAGATGAATGAGAAATATACTTTGCAAAATTGTTTTTAAGGAAAGAGTGTTCCTTGGAAAGCTTTTTTATCCAGGACTGTGTAAGTTTTCACTTCACCCAGAAAACCAGCATGTCAGTGTCACCCCTCCAATTTCCTCTTCTAGTCATATATTTCCTTTTTGTATTTTTAATAAAATAACAGTTAGAAAGATCCTCTCATGTATTTTGTGTCTACTACACAGCACAACAAAGAACTGTCATTTTTAATGTAGGGGACTTCTTACTAGATAACTGTGTCATATGAAAACTTGTTATAAAAGAGATGAAAAGGTATAAACTTGTTATGAAAGAGATGAAAAGGTATTTCTGATATAACTAATATCCATTTAACTAGACCTAAGGGATTACTGGTGGTATTGATTTGAAATATCTCAGTAACTGTGATTTATAAGGTTGCCACAAAGAGTTCTTTTACACTTTTACTAAGCGTGATTCTATTCCTGACTAATTAAAGAATGTCTTTGTTGTGGGGTGTTTTTTGTTTTGTTTTGCTTTTTTAACAGCTGTACTTAAGAATGGTGTCCTGTTATTTTCAAGATAAATTTTGTTAATACCTGAAAAGTTTCTGCTATGGTAGATTTCATGGAATGTGTCTCATCTTTACCTTATATCTTTATTTAAGACAATAATTTAATTTTTGAAATAGAATATTATGTAAAACTTTAAACTCATTTTAACCTTGTTACTCAGCAAGGCTCCTGCCCATGGAGGGGGGCTGGAACTAGATGATCTTTAAGGTCCCTTCCAACGCAAGCCAGTCTATGATTCTATGATTCTAGCACCTACCAGCTGGGCAGGAGAGAAGAGAGGACATTATGCTGAATCTATATAAGGGGTTATTCTCTTTTTAATAGTGATGACCCAAATCCAAAGTTTGTTCTCTATGTTTCTGAGCAGTGAATTTTGTCCCTTTTTACATTAATTGCAGTGATCAGAAGGGGGGTTTGCCTGATTAATTCCAAAGTACTTGTGATTTTGTCCTGGAGTCTTGTATTACTTCAGCTGCTCTGAATTGTGTTATACTTCACATTAACTGGGATGCTTATTTAGTACAAGAAATAAGAATTGTCCATTTAATCAGTTAAATATTTGTTCCCATTGACTGTACTTACAGGCTTTTGCTTATGCCATCATTAGAATCCCATTATCCCCTAGGGAAGATGCTTCACTTATTTACTTTTTTTATTTTCTTAGGGTGCTTACAGGTTATATATGAGTACTAAGTACTCATATATTTTTTAATATTTTGTATTTTATATTTAAAATAGAAAAAAGTCATAGTGAATGTTCAGTTTCAGGTCATTATCTCCTTAAAAGATTTAGGCACTTGCACAAGCAAATGCCACACATAGAGCACTGCTGATTACCAATTAGAACTCTAATTTCACATAGTCATTGATTCTGTAACTATATGTTTGTTATAAGCTTTTTTTTTTAAGAGCTGTTTGAAGCTCAGACTTGAAGTCTGTGGTATGTCTTTTTTCGGCTCATGGTTCACTTTCAGTAATTTGGGTTAACAATTATTGCAACCTTCTTCCGGCCAAAAAATAGCAAAATTTCTTCGAGCTAGAGTATTTTATGTAACTGTTCTTGAGAAGATTTTAACATGTTATCTTTATAGAAAAAAAAAAAAGAGAAATATTTGTGTTACTTTAGGGTATTTACATCTTTGCTAATATTTCATAAACAGAATTTTAGAAACAATCTGACTTAAAACATCATGGCCCATTTTTATATGATGACACCGACTATGAGCTTTTTTTACTTAAAGGAAGCTTACATATAGGAGGCAGTGATATACCCATAGAAAAGTTTTCCATCCCTTGTATACCAGGTATTTAAAAAAAAATACCAAAATGTAGAATTAAAACCTACCTATGAATAACAAAATATGAGACAAAAAATGGATAGAATTGCTTTTAAATATTGGGAAATGTGAAGATGCAAAGAAGCTCTTTAAAAATATGAGTACCAATACTCATATAAAACTCTTGTAAAAATAATACAGAAAAAAAAGAGTGCATCAATAAGAAATGAAGGAAATGTTAAAGGGCATCCTTATTCTGAATCACCAATGCAGACAGACAAATCAAATCTTACACTAGCATGGCACTGATAGGTATTAAGCATAGGACATCTCATTCCAGTAGCACACTGTCAAAATACTAATATAAGATCTGAAGTGATAAGAGGATTATCAGCAATGGAGACTGCAATATAAACAGATTGAATGCTCATTTCTCTGCCTACAGCTCTAGTTTGTAATATGAAGATTTGGATATATATATGTTTATCATCCATACTTTTCATATTTACTTAATGGATACCTTAAAATGCATATTTTATTTAATGTGGAAGTATTTGTTCCTTGCTTCTGTAACCTTCCCAGTAGTACAGCCTTCCTTTTCATTAGTGCATATGAAACTTTGGTAATATTTTTGTGGAACACTTTATTCAAGAATCTAAGCAAGTCCTGCTGCTCACTGGCAGTTCCTGTGTACAGAGGTAGAAATGAATGTCTGCTACATAACAGCTGTTTTACTATGAATATTACTTCATAAGTCTAAGTGAAATATATACTCAGGATTCAGGTGCATAGATGAAAGCCATCTTACTAGAAATAGTATCTAAAGATTTCCCCTCCCCCACTTCTATATTATGGAAATTGAAACATGCCCATTTAAAAATAGAAAGACTGATTAGGCAAGAAATTACCAAACTTTGTTAATTTCCTTGACCAGGTAAGATCAACATGAGGGTCCACTGCAAAACGATATAACAACAAAAGTTTTGATTTGGTATGCTAGACAGATGTGCACAAATGCACTAAGAGAAAGGTACCAAATATTTAGAGGCTGCAATGATCACTAAAAATAAATCAAATTAATATCAGATACATGTCTATAAGTCTATATGGAAAAATTAATTCATGCATAGTAAAAAAGTATACCTCCTATGTCTTACCTGGCCATCATCTCCGGCACATATTTAACTTCCTACCTTAATCTTGTTTACAGTTTCAGCATTTGTTTATCTGTGTGGTGGACAGCTTTTTTTCCTGTCAAGGGATTAGATATTCACATTGTGTTATATACTTTGATCCCCAGATTCTGTTTATTTTATTTGCTTTTGACTTCTGCCACCAGTATTTATCTTCACTGTGTTACCTCACTACATTATACTTAATAAACAGCTTTGAGCATGGATTAAACAACAACTAGATGTGAAACCTACAATTAGTCCACATACAATTCTAGCTACTACTGTTTAATCTTTTCTCTACAGGCATTAAAACTCAAAATTCTAATAAAAAACAAAAAAGTTGGAACAGTTGAGGAAAGTATGCTCAGGAGAGATTTAGACATTCATGGTGAGACAGGGGAAGCTTCTGAACCTGAAAATATATCCGATGATGAAGACGACAGTGTTGGTACAGCCTCTCTTTCCACACAGCGTGTTTCCTCAAAAAGAAAAAGTGACAGTGCACCTTCAGCCCCATCCAGAAAAAAAGCAAAGGTAATTTTTGTCTCAATTGAATTTAGAAAATGCATAGATGTGTGCCAGCTGTTTTTAAAAAAGAAGGAATATATTATCTTAGAGTAAAAAATTAAAAGGTAGGCTTCAAAATTACTTAGAGCAATGTATTTTGAAATCATACATTTTAATTCAAGGTTTCAGAGTTTTCCTGATTCTGACAAGACACTCCAAACTAGAGCATATTTTAGTATCCAACTAAAAAGCAAAAAACAAACCTTCCCTTGGGTCCCATTCTAAACTCCACCTATGTTTTTTACTTTCAAATCTTGTGCTTGCCCCAGCTGCTCAGTAACATAATAGAACTAAAATGAAGTTGCTCAACTGCTTTTTATTGGTCTCAAGGCTATGCATGGAGAGCACTGATAGCAGTTCCTGATGATGAAGGATAAAATGAACTATTTCTTCCTGCAGTCCACCAATCTCTTGTGGAAACTTTGAAGAGTTTCCATTCCTATATTTTCTTCAGTTCTAGATTTATGCATGAAATTAGGTGTAGAATTCTGGTTGTGCTGAAACATTTTTAACCACTTAAAATATAAAAGGTATTTGTATGTTTCACTTGTGAAGACTTAACATTAAATATTATTTCTGAAGGAGAGCGTAAAAGCTGCATTCAATCTTGTTTTTGATGGTCAAATTGAACTTACTAATTTTTTCAAGCAAATAGTAATTCTCTGCCATGTTAATCTGCTATTTCATCAAGGTTCAAACTGCTATGTTTAAGGTTTTTAAGCAGGCGGAAGCTCCCAGTATCCAGTCAGTTTTGCACATCATGCTGTCTTTGTCTGAATTCGAGTAAACTGGCAATGCTCCCAACAGCTCTGTTTTTGCTGAGAGCCAGTGTCTCTTCCTCTGTGTCTGTTTTCTCTAAGTGTTTTAAAGGTCAAGATCTTTGGTTTTTTTCTCTTTCCATCTAATACAGAGAGATAGGAAGGACAAATTCTTAGGAAGGATGGAGCCCTCTTTGAACAGGGAAGGCCAAATTTCCAAATAATGGGGTCACATGTATTTGTAACGTCATGTTACAGACCAGAATATGCACCATAATACATCTTGATCAACAGCAGTAACAACAGACGTCTGGTCATGTTTCATAGACAGAAGGGAAAATGGTTTCTGAGGACCCATGCTATTGGAGTGGGAGCATTTATTCTGCGGTCTTGCTCTACTGCTGTCTTGAAGGGTAGGAGATCATTTGAATCCATACCCAAAATACCCTAGTGATACTGTTGGCTTTGGCTATGTCACTGCTTTCTACGTCTAGAGAGTTGTATTATTCAGTTCTGTAACAACAGACTTTTACTGCATCTGGTGGGACACAGCCTCAGAATAAGGAATGCACTTGAACTTTATGTAGCTGAAGACCCATAAGCAGGCAATCCCTACTATTTTGTCAGAGGAGAATTTGCCTTCAAAAGCTCTAATAGAATGTAAATATTATTAGCAACATCAGCTTGTTGCTGGTTACTACCACTAGTTAGCTCACAAGTTCATGCTAAGTAAAATGAAGATGTCACATAGTACCAGTTTAAGAGATAAGATTTAAAGTTTCAGTGTACTGCAATGCACAGCAGCCTTTGCTTTTGCTTGATTTGGAAATGGGACAAGATTGAACAAAAACTTTGGCGAAAGAGTTTTCCATCTTGATTAATAACAGAGTTTTCTTAATTTCAGAGCAATGCTTGGAGGACCATACCTATGATTGATTTGCCTGTTATTCCATATTTTTTTATTTGAGTTTTTGTTATTGATGTATAGATGCTTATGATTTCTTTTTCTTTAAATATTTCCTACCAGAATACCTTTTCTAGTACTTTTAATTCTTGAGGAGTATTAAGTTGGACATATGTTTTTAATGAGTAATGTTAAGAGCCATGAAAAGTTATATTAATTTACATACCAATCTCAGAATCAGGAAAATTACAAGGCTGTCCAACAGAATACTGAGCTAGAAAGCATTGGAAGCATCTCTCTTTTCACCCTACAATTGCAATGATGAACATAGAGGCAACAACCTTAATTGTCTCAGTACCAAAAGTCATATCTTAAACTCAAATATTCATTAATTGTGACACATTTTTCCATGCTTTATGTATCTAAAATTATACTGTCTTCTTAATTGTAGTTAGTAGTAATGAAATATGTGTATTTTGTGATTTTTTTATTCTTCCATTATTTTATACTATGATTATCAGATGAGAAAGGTAAAAATTGCCCTTGCATTGTCGGACCTTGTGATTTATACCAAATCTGAGAAGTTTGTGAGCTTTGAGCACTCCCAAAGTCATCAGAAGTTCTATGAAAATAATTCAATTGGAGAAGTTCGAGCACGAAAATTTGTAAAACATTCAGGTAATTTCTTTTGATTTAATCAGATAAAAGTAACAATGTGCCTATGATTCACTGCTTAGGCATTGGGTTAAAATTTTATGAAATGCATGCTGCCCAATTTTATTTGGTTGTCTTTATAACACTGTTATGGAAATATCTAATTATTTGAACTGTGTTTTTATAATTCAGTTGGTTTTGTAAGGAAAATTGAGATCCAGCTTTAATTCCTTGCAGTTTTATTAGAACAAATATTAACATAGTATACAAAAAGTATGAATAACTTCTGATTCATTTTTTTCTGCATCAAATAATTTAGATGTTACAGTCAGCACTTGGAAGTGTGTGGAATACGTTTCACACACACATACCACCCATGTACAGTCTGTAGTAGCCACTGGAGCTGGGCATGCAGTAATCCTGGCTTTCATGATAAGCACAAATTAGACATTCTCCATTGACGGAAAGAATAAACCCTGTAGCAGGCAGCTTGCTCCATTAGTCCAGGTCTTTCATACCAATCATGTTGGATTATTCAAAACTCAATCTGTGTGGAGCTTCTCCATTTGTGCAGTCAATACAGTGCAGCCTTTGATGTTTTAACTCCATCTGTCTACCAGCAACCATAAGGGAATGTTAAGAACAGACATCACTGACCATGAGAATGAAGTTTGCCATAGGTTCATTCATTTAAGGTCATCCCAGCTGCCATCCATCACTTTGTGGAGATGATTCAATGGTTGACTAGATGAATGGTGATAAACATCATCAAAATTAGTAGGCTTTTTTTTTCAGACTATTATAGAGTCCCCTCTGGTCCCTTGAGCAATCTACTGAACATAAAAGTAGGATGGAAGAGATCAGAGTGATGAGCCTGCAAATGTAAAGCTTCCTTTTTTATTACTAAACAGGAATAGTGTACGTAGAACTACACATCTGTGTAGTTTGTACTTTTGTGTGAAGGAAAACTGCTAGGAGTAAAAAACCTCACTTGAATAGCTAACATCATCTGAAGATTTTGAAGGAATAAATTGTGTTTTAGAGATGCACTCTTCAATGGTCTTCAGATTATTCTGGTTTTTATTTAAACCTCAGAACAAGTTAAGATCATCTTGGGAGGATTGTTTTCCTATTGAAATACTAAAGAGTGAATGGGCTTTTTTACCACTATCCAATTTTGCGTCTCTTAGTTTTCCATGGGAACACAGTGGGCTTTAAAGTAAAGATCATGCATTTACTGAAGATGTGAAGACATAGAGTCATAGAATAGTTAGGGTTGGAAAGGACCTTAAGATCATAGAATATTTCCATAAAGTAATGATTCTTGGTTATTGAAACTTTAACAAAACACTGCACTATACACAGATATACTATCAGATTCAAATATACGCAGAATATTCTGGTTTAAAAATAGGATTTTAGCCATAGCTCAGTGGCCCATACGCTAACAAACATTACCATTAATATAAATGTCCTAAAATAGAAATACATTGATAAGATATGCTCATTGTGCAAATAAAAATATGCTGATCAGGTTATTACATTTTTATTATTATTTATTCAAATAGGATCTTTTTACTAATAAAGTTTTCCTTACCAAGGTTTTATCATTCTGTTTTTCAGCTAGAGATTTTGTTTTACATACGTCAAAATTCATTACAAGAATCTATCCCAAAGGAACAAGAGCAGCGTCTTCAAATTATAATCCTCAAGAGTTCTGGAATGTGGGGTGTCAAATGGGTATGTACATTTGCAGAGACTGCATTCCAGGCTTTGCAGAGAAGATAATGGTTTTCCTTCCTCTAGTATTTTTTCTGTTATGTGGGTTACACATTTTCCCTTAGTGGTATCACTTTCATTTTGTGTTATCTAAACTTTCTTTTCAGTTTACATACCTAGAATAACTTTTTATCCTAGAATCCAGGAATTCTGGTACGTAATAACTAATGGGAATATTAATTTCATCTGTTTACTTTAGGAAGTAGTTACAATTAGGCCCTAAGTAGTTCCAAATATCACTTTCTGTTAAACAGCTATATCTTATCCCAAATATCTCGGTTTATTTTAATGCATTAATTTCTTTAAACTACTTGTTTTTTGGTTTTTGTTTTTTGATAATAAGAAAAACAGTAGTAAGAACACAACATTTTAAGCTTTGAACTTCATTTTGCTTTATTCCTAGCCCTAAGACTAAACAACGCACTATTTTTTTTTCATGGATGTGTAGCAAAAACACATATATATACAGCTTTCAACAGCTAAACCAGAGTTTTATCCTTTATGTATTATCTCCTTCTTTATTAATAGCTCTATGATATTTAAATATAGGTGTCTGTAAGGAGAGTTTAAATGATTTGCATTTTACTCCCTGTTTGGGCTGAAATTATGTTAAGTATGTTACCTTAGGTTTTGAAGTAAAAGTGAGTGTGCTTTGCATTAGGCATTGTACTGCCAAAAAAGAAAAAAAAAATTACAATATGCCTGTCACAAAAATGAAAATAGATTATAATTTTTTTGCATGCTCTATCTATCATATCCCATAACCTCTGTGCTTATTTGTCAGCTGTGGCTAAGGTGTAAATAGAGCACGCTTAGAAGAGAAAATGGCAATAGTAGCTACTTCTTCTTCTTTTTTTTTATCTTTTTTCTTTTTGTCTAATTTCTCTTTGAAAGAAATTCTTTTTCAGCTGAGGTTTAGCAGTCTTTATAGTTTAGCAAGCACAAGGAAGCACCTGCCTGTTTAGCTAAAAGTGGATATTGTTGCAATGCAATTGCATTTGCTTTTTCCAAATGTTGATCTATAGCACTGAATTAGAATAGGCAATGGAAAGATATATATGTGTGGTTTAGGAATTTTTACACAGCAATGGAAGCCTCATCTGAAGGATGTGTGGGTTTTCAATCGTTTTGTGCGACTGGAGCAGCAAAGATGCAGGAGATGTGGGCACAACAATTAATATTGGTGCCAACAGTTCCTAGATAATGACATACTACTGCAAAGAAGCACTCAAATGCTCCTGGTCAGCAGAATACCAAGGAACAGATGGGTATCTTCAGTGACTGCATAGATGCAGTGTGAGTTTAGTATCTTAACTTCCAGTACAAAACATATTAATTTTATGAGCAATGAAATAACAATAATTTCGTTTCTCTTCATTTCAAGATAGATTCATTAAAAATAAGCATTACTTCTGTACTCAGCAGGCTTTGAAAAACCTGTCACCTGTAAACACTTTCCCCTTTTTAATGGCATTAGAGGCAATCTTGCCTTCATGTCTTTGTTTTATAAGATTCTCATTTACAGAATATTTGAATCTTTGGCAGTCTGCTACACCTTCTTCAGCCTTAGATGATGACCAAGTTTTTTTGCATCCACATGTGTATTCTGTCCATATCACGGCCACCCAAGGGAGACTGTCAGGTGAGCAGGGCAATTTGCCATAGGCTCAATGTTTTCAGAGATGAAAATATGGTCTCACCTTGTTATATTATGGTACACACTCATACAGAGATGGGCACAGATTTCACTTTGCCTGAAGGGTTCTGGATCTTAGCAGATTCTCCTGGAAGGCATGCTAAGGTACATGAAAAACAACAAGGTGCTTGGTGACAGCCAGCATGGCTTCACTAAGGGGAAATCCTGCCTGACCAATTTGGTGGCCTTCTATGATGGGGCTACAGAACTGATGGACAGCGGTAAAGCAGTTGATGTCATCTACCTGGATTTGTGTAAAGTATTAGACACTGTCCCACATGACATTCTTGTCTCTAAATTGGAGAGACATCAATTTGATGAATGGACCACTCGGTGGATAAAGAACTGGCTGGATGGCCGCACACAAAGAGTTGTGGTCAATGGCTCAATGTCCGGCTGGAGACCAGTAACGAGCGGTGTCCCTCAGGGATCGGTGTTGGGACCGGTCTTGTTTAACATCTTCGTCGCTGACATGGACAGTGGGATTGAGTGCGCCCTCAGCAAGTTTGCCGATGACATCAAGCTCTGTGGTTAGGTTGATACACTGGAGGGAAGGAATGGCATCCAGAGGGACCTTGACACACCTGTGAGGTGGGCTGATGCCAACCTCATGCCAAGTGCAAGGTCCTACACCTGATTTGTCGGAGCAATCCCAGACACAGCTACAGGCTGGGCAGAGAAGAGATTGAGAGCAGCCTTGCGGAGAAGGACTTGGGAGTGCTGGTCAATGAGAAAATGAACATGAGCCAGCTTCAGTGTGCGCTTGCAGCCCAGAAAGCGAACTGTATCCTGGGCTGCATCAAAAGGAGCGAGACCAGCAGGTTGAAGGAAGTGATCCTGCCCCTTTATTCTGCTCTCGTGAGACCTCACTTGGAGTATTGTGTACAGTTCTGGTGTCCTCAACATAAAAAGGACATGGATCTGATGGAACAAGTCCAGAGAAGGGCCACGGGGATGATCAGGGGACTGGAGCACCTCCCATATGAAGGTCGGCTGAGAAAGTTGGGGCTGTTCAGCCTGGAGAAGAGAAGGCTGCGTGGAGACCTCAGAGCAGCCTTTTAGTATCTGAAGGGGGCATATAGGGATGCTGGGGATGGACTCTTCATTAGGGACTGTAGTGATAGGACAAGGGGTAATGGGTTAAAACTTAAACAGGGGAAGTTTAGATTGGATATAAGGAGGAAATTCTTTCCTGTTAGAGTGGTGAGGCACTGGAATAGGTTGTCCAGGGAGGTTGTGAATGCTTCATCCCTGGCAGTGTTCAAGGCCAGGTTGGACGAGGCCTTGGGTAATATGGTTTAGAGCGAGGTGTCCCTGCCCATGGCAGGGGGGGTTGGAACTTGACGATCTTAAGGTCCTTTCCAACCCTAACTATTCTATGATTCTATGATTCTGTGATTCTGTATGTGCCCTTGCTCCAGGCTTTCTTTTTCACTTGTTTCTTTTCTCAGCTCCCAGAATATCTTCTCTTTCAAGTTACCTTCTCAGAAATGGTTTTAACGGTGCTTTTTTTCAATCAATCTTGCCCATGCATATTATTATTTAAACCTCTAATATTACTCTAGATACTCTCCTACAGTTATAGAATTTAGAAGGAGCATCATGACTCAGCTTTCACTGGGAGACTGCTGTTGCCATGTTTGTGGCCATGACCACAAGCAGTGGAGGACGTCCTCAGGCCTAAGCTTTTTATCATTTGCAGTTCCCACCCCAAACTGTGTTATCAGTGTCACGTGTTGAGAGAATGTATGAAACCATGACTAGGTAGATAGTGTGAAATTGGACACTCAGTGCTGGCTGTTCCATGAAAGAACAGAAATGTACTCAGAACCCCTACAGTTGTCACATTGTTATAAATTCTGCTTCTCATCCTGACTGTTGCTTTGAGATATAGTTTTACAAGTACAGCAGGAATAAAACAATTACTAGTTAGTCTACATTTTGTCTGTGTCCTTATAAATGTTTATTGGTAGTAGAGATTTGGACTTGGGCTAGGCTATTGCTGGAAGTATCTTGCCATTCCAATACCATTTGCAATTGGTTTGATTATATTCTCACCTTGTTGTTGATCCTCACTTAGCTTGATGTCATGCTATTGCTGGATTATTTAGCTGGGGTGGTGCACTCTCCGTATACTACCTACATTGCTATTAAAAACTGTCAAGTTTGTTTAATGCTTAGAGGAATGGCTAGCCAGAGGTACTTAATTTAACACTGAATTCATATCTCAGGCTTATCATACTGCAGTTAACTAGTTTTCTTTCTAGCCTGTAAATCTCCACACTGACCTCTGAAGAGTACCGGTTAGATCTCAAACAGGACTGAAATCTTTCAGAATAACTACCCTGACTGTTGACTCAGAGTAAACTTTAATGAAAAGTCAAACTAAACATTAGTGTAAAAACCATATGATTTCTGCTGTATAGGAGCCTTGGGCCCCTTCCTGGAAGAATTAAAAATATGCAGGAAGTGGTTAGATCTGCCCTCTTGGTCACATCATTTGCATCTTCTTTTAAAGAAACATTTTTCTCATGGGAAAAAGATGATGTTGTAAGCAATTCTCCATATATATTGTTTCCAAGGCATGTCACTTCTATTCTTGATTCCCTAATCTGTTTCAGATAACTGTTTGGCAGAAATATAGCTTCACAATGGAGCTCCCAAAGCTCCATTCAGTGAATCTTCTGCTGATATCCTTCCAGACAGATTTTTTAGTTTTATGTCTATCTTGTGTCCATATAGCTCACATACCCTCCCTTGTCTCTCTGCACCCCATGCACAGAAGTAATCCATCCAGATACCTTCAACCACTTTCCTAAACCTGTTCACAGGACTCAGATTCCTCCTATGTATGTCATGCATCTGCCTTCTTCAGCTCCTTTCACCCCCCCCTACACCTGCTAGTTTACCCTTCTCACCTTTAAGTTCCTCTGATTTCCATAATTGTTCTGGCTGGACAAAGAAAATGTATTAGGTTTTGTTCAAATTTACATATTATATTCCCTGCCAGGCCTCTGAATCATGTAAATTATGATAACTGAGTTATTCTTTCACTTCCCTTAGTGATAGACCCAAAACAGTGCTCTCTTCTGTACCCTGCCAGCAATTTTCTCTAAACTGGTTGGAATGTATTAACTTAGGGCAACCTGGCACTCAGTTAAAGCAGGATAATATGGTTCAACAGGCTGAAGATTTGTTGGGGCTGAGGATGAGAGTTATGTAATTGTGTAAATCTAATTTCCAGAGGAAGGCAAGTTAGAAGCCA